AAAATATCACAATTCACTCATGATTGTTTATAGTACCTATAAACATAAGCATGCTAATAGTTCATCCTGAAAATTTCAACTATCATTTTTCACTATATTTGTTTAAGCGGGCGTTGCTACATTTTAATTGAAACTGATTCATCTGTGCTAATACCGTTGACACGCTTATAGCATTAATGTAAACATTAGATATAAAATGTCTTGATTAATTCGTACCTATTGGAAGTATTACACGCAAGGAATTGAAGGATATTGCTGGTGCGGATGCTGAACTTTGCTAAATTTGTATAACTAATATTTATAGCCCGGTGCGTAACATAACTCCGCGCGTTTTCAATAAGTTAGGTCAAAAGCATCTGATAGGACATACGCGTTAACTTTAGTACTATTAATGTTTTATATAGTAAATGATGAAACTCTTTTCCTTCCTTACATGAGCTGCTGCGTAACTAACTTCATTCCGGCCACACTTTTCACAAGCAAAATTACAACCTTATTTATTTACACTTAGTGGCAGCTGATAAAGAATATTTCAAATATACCAAATGTGATAACATACATTTAGAATACACAACAGGATTCACATGATTTATGTGCACTCCACTGGACTGTCAATTTCAGCGAAAATTCTGATATTCTCAGGATTTTCCTTGAACGTTTTTTTCTTATTTGGACTGGTCATTTTTTGTTCTCTGCACTCTGTCGTCTTTTATCTGAAGAAGTAGAGGAAGAAGTAACTGGTCGGGATTTTCCAGTACTAGTTTTGGTAGTGCACAGTCATTAACTTTGCCCGAGGTCAGGTATTAGCCGTAGAGGTAATTTACCTAAACCCAATTTAGTCAGTCCGGTAGTGTACTGCACGACTGAAGACAATGCTACGATCGAATATTAGATAACTGCGTAAATGGCTGGCCAAATATCTCAAAGTCGTGACACCCATTAGTCTTTAAAGCTCAACCAGCTTCTAAAAGTTTCTCTCAGTGCTGTTACAGTTATGAGGAAATCAGCGCACATCCTTTATTGACAATAGGACGCTGTCAAAAACAGAAGCACAACGATCTCCTGAACCAAAATAACAGCAAAGACTCTCGTGGAAAACTATCCTTCATTTTATACCATATCCTAAGAAGACATAACCTACTCTCAATTACGAGAATTAATCGTTTATTTGGCACAATTTTAGTACGTATGCCAGTTAACCTTGATTTCTATTTTTGATTTTTCATACAGCATCTGCCTGTCACAGAGTAAATTTATAGGGAGTAATAATACGGTGTTGCAGTAAAGGGTACCAGGATGAAGCGAGCTGGCTTTGGGCTTGTTTGACGTACGGATCCCGACCTTCTCGATTAGTCGATTAGAATTACCGGTTGTTTGTGGCCATTCAGAAATTTAGTATTGTCCATTGGACTGCCCGGCTGAATAATGTATGGGCTGCCAAGACCTGATAAGTAAGATCGCTCCGAGAACCCCTGTGCATGTTTAAAGGACTTGCTTTTTGTTTCTAACTGCGAACTGTTCTGCCTGATGTTGCTCCTATGCGCCGTTTGTACTCATCCTAACTGAGAATTCACTTTAAAAATACTACGGACCTACTCCTCCACGATAGTTGCTGTGGGCCAGATTTTTTTTTGGTACTTTGGTAACTTCATCTTAGAGCTTACCGTCGCTTGTATGGCTGTCCATCACGTGCTCCTTCAATTTGCCCCACTGTCCTTTTAAGTGTCGTCGGAACACTTGTCCATTACGGCTTGGGTATCCTGTTCTTCCGATCAGGTGTTCGGGATTACTAGATCCAATCGTCTATTCGCTATCATCGCTTGCTAAATTATGCCACACACTCCGCTAGCTAACTGGCGCTTTTTTTCTCTTTTTATCTTATCATACAGCGTCTGCTTCCTCTAGACTAAACGAATAGGAGAAAATAAACCCGGTGTGGTAAGAAGGCCGCCGCACAGCGCTTTTAAAGGGCGATAATGCAGCACATTACAGTGTTTCGGTAGCGTATGTGTAACGTGTTCGTTTGGCAAACATTTCGACATATGATGAACTAGCTCCAGATTGAAGTGTTGTTATAGCTCGCTCCGTGCAAGAACCAGTCATCTAAAGTTATACGACCCATGTGCCATATGTAAAACACAAAGAATATTGTTTTTCCCATTCTCGGATAATGTTTTTTAAGTGTACTCATCACCCAAAGTGACTTGTGTACATATTCGCTGAATTCAAAGTTGCTTTCCGTTTCAATTATCAACTAAACAATAAAATCAACAATTAGAAATTACTATATCCGTCTATGCAAACGCCTAAATGCGTCCTCAATCACAAGTTATTACGTTTGCAAAGAAATAAATTAAATTTGGTCTACGTCTTGTGGTGCAGCGTCACCGTGAAACAGGTGCAAATGAACAATGCGGTAGGAGCCAGGTCTCTAGTCACAAGTGAATGGCGTATTTTGCCAAAAAAACTCTAACACACCTGACATGACCTGAAAAACAGGGAACAGAACTCGAACGCACACGTTCAAGTTCTCACCTCGGCACAGACCTCCAAAGCTGCCTATATCAACCTAGCGTACCACTTTATCATTTACAAGTACACGCTATCTATGAAAGAAATAAATTCTGATTGACTCGCCTGACCCTGCCTTGTCTCAGATAGCGGCTTCTTACGTTTATTATCTTACTCAAAACTAGAATGGCTCATTTTCAGTTTTTTTTTGTCGTGGCCCTAGTCGCTACCATATCCTGTCAAGAAAAAGATTCGAACGTTCCTCCAACACTTCGTGAAGGAACAGACAAGACTCCATTTATACCTCCACAAGTCCCCAGTTATCCTGAGGTAGCAGGACAGTTCGCGAAAGTAAACGTTCAACCTCATCACGGCCCAGTCAAGGTTGGACCGCATTGTTATTTAACAACGTAACCATTTTGTTCAGATCACGTGAAACTCTAGGCAGTCCGAAGTAAGTGACAAAAATATCCTGTTTAAACTGTAGCAATAAGAAGGTCGTAAAGTCAGCTACCTATTCTTGTAATATATAAGCAATTACGGTGGCTACTACGCTATTTTTCAATTACAATAAGTGTCCCTTGAAAGATATGAACGTCTTTTTGCGTTTCTTTTTTTACTGCTCACTGAATGCTAGGTGGAAGCTCCGCTAACGAGGCTGTTTGTCGATCGTCAAACCGGTGATGTAAATCTGCGTGCAGGTCCGGTGGCCCTCGACCTTGACACGGCGAAAGAGCAAAGACCGTTCAAACTCTGGATCAACATTCCGTAAGTGTCTAGTAAAAATGATATTACGGCGTGTTCGCTTTAGGTGATGCAGACTTCTTTGTTTTGTTTTGATACATGAAATAACTTTGCAATATTTAGGCATCGGCTAATTTTCGAAAATTTTTGTTCTGTGAAGCTCATGTTGATGGCCGAGATTCGATATTCATATATCTGATTCAAATTTATTTACACATATGTGCGGTGTTCATATAAATTTACAGTCTATCCTTTGCCGAACGAATTCGTCTTCTAATTTGCTCAGAAAAAATGCAAACGTATCAGAGCGTTTTATGACTCGTCAACTTTTTTTCGCGATGCTCAGAGTAAGCCAGATTTATCAGCTTTTATTTGGACAAATATGCACAGCGATCGGGAACGATATGTAAATAGGCAGAAAAGTAAAGCCAACTTAGCATAGTGACGCTATAAATTACCGGCAACTGAGTGCCCCGCCAAAGAGAACTCCGAGCGGCGCGAAGTAAATATCAGCTCATTATGAAGCAAAATAACATCATCCTAACATCAAACTAACAATAATGATGGCCCCAACGAAAGTTCTAATGACCGTGGAACACGCATCTGTGGATATAATTATGGCACACTTGTTAGTTAGCTTCACATTACAATGCCGCTAAACGACTGGTGTGAACAATGCTGTTTCCAGTCATGTTAACCCTCATCATTAGCACACTTAGCATAGCAAAATTTACTGCCAGGCAAAAATTGCGACTGAGGTAACGAGTTAGACCGATGAGTGACGTTGAAGTGTTTTCCCCCTTGTTCGCTTCAGTGTCTGACAATCTATATCGAAGTGATTTAACATGAATGCTACAGCGATTGACAATTCGCGATAGTGTAACAGGAACAAATGCATCTTTAAAGCCAGAAAAATGATTTCTAGACATCTAAAGGAAAATAAGACATGCGTAAAATGATAAGATCATAGCATTTTATCGATCGGCGATCGTAACTCAGACGCTAGCGTCAAACGTTTTGCTCTCTGGGAACTGCTTAAGCCTATTTCTTGTGGCTCGGAGTCGAGCATTCAATGGCACAGATCTGCTTGTAAAAATAGTGTGTCCGAATTTAGCTCTTCTGATAACAGATTACGTATGACGTCTTCTAGTTCAGCTATGCATTTCGGAATACCAGAGAAGGGTTGTGCGATAGCAGGTGGTTATGTGAATTAATTTCCTTGTTTTCAGAAAAATCTTCAATCTTCGCTTAGGCCATCAAACAGACGGAACGAATGGTATGTATGACAAGCCAAAATTATCTGGAAAATACAGTAATTAATTATTGCTAGACGAAAGGCGCTCTTTTTTAATGAGACTATAATTATGCTCTAGCGAGTGTTTAATGTACAAAAGTTTGCTTAAGAATCCTAAACACACACTTTAGTTTCATGTGTCGACATATCATGGGGTTAACAAAAAAAATTACCACTGTTATCAGCAGTTTCTCTGCTATTGTCTCATCTACATTTATGTGTAATTCTCAAACTGTTCAGTTATCATAT